TTAATCCATGATTGAAAATTTAGATTAAATTTAATTATATTCAATTCAATTCAATAATATACCCTGTTTGAAAAAAAAAAATGCTTTTTAAACTTTCTGCAACACCCTGTATGAACAACACTATGTTTTCTGAGAAATATTTTTTAAGCTATACACCTTTCCTATTTACATTTTTGCTATACACAGTGGCACAAAAAAAGTTAAGGGGGGTGGGAAAATATAAAAAATTACAAAATACCTATGTACCTGCTTATTGCGAAGGAATATATATAGGTAAACATAGATATCAAAATATCAAAATTCAGAATTCTATACTGCATTAATCACAAAAATCAATAGCCGCCATCAGATTACAACCGAAAGGCAGTCAGAATCACCCAATCAGTTGAAATAATCTTAAAAGCCTGGGAGAAAATATTACTATTCAAAAGAATATATTTTTTATGCGTGCGGAGGATATTTTCTAGAGATTTTTTCATGACATGAAAAATTCTCGGGGGGGGGCACTTGCCCCCAGTGCCGCCCCCTGGATCCGCCACTGACCTGTAATGGGCCCGCGGAGATTTTGGCACACAGGCCCGGAGCTGGGTTGATACGCCACTGCCTCTATTTATTAGTAACAGAAAATTACTACCCCCAAAAATACATAACTATTTACCTATTTATTATTTTATTTTTAACCATATATGAAATGTTGTCATTACTGACTTTTCAAAAATTTGAAAATTTCACATTTCTGTCTTTTCATTTTCCTGCTCCATTACCTGTCCCAGGACGGGAAGTGAGGACGGGAAATTTTTTCCGTCTGCATTTCCCGTCCACGAACGGAAAATGGAGCAGGGAAATATTTCCCGTTCTCATTTTCCTCTTCATTTGCCGACCTCATTTGGTTGCCCCGAATTTATTTTTTTTTCGAGAAATTATGGTTAAAAATAAAATAGTAGGTATACAACCCTCGACGGGAAACTTCATTGCTGTCTCGAGGCTCAGTTTATCTCGACGCTACGCGTCTCGATAAACTATAAAACCTCTCGACCAGTAATGAAGCATTTCCCGTCTCGGATTGTAATATACTATTGTTTTTAAATATAATAATATTCCTATTCTATGGTAGGTATATGTATAATAAGTACCTATATAAAACACAGGCATTTAATTTGTTATAAACTTGGCAACGCAGCCTAGCAAATACACCTGCATTTGGTGCGTCCAATGAACTATAACCAAAAACTGGAATGCGAACACATATTGTCGAACGTGAAGCCTAGTGCCGCTGCTGCGGAGGGGATACCTGTTTTTGTCGCACTCATTATGTTAAATGGCGGAAATTGCTTCCAACACGTATTCCAATTGATGAAACCTGTGAAGGTAAATATGACAAAACTTTCCAAAACATCATATGTCAGCGAGCAACAGAAAAAAACAACATTCCCCTTTGTGGCATCTGTCTTTCATGGCTACATTTTTTTGGCAGATATGGCAATGTGTGCGCATTCCAGTTTTTTACTATAGTTCATTGGGTGCGTCAAATTAATTTAATCGCAGAAACGACTGATTTTACTAGGACACCAGCGCCATCACGCGGGTTTATATTTTCGCCGGCGGACGGGTCTTAGTCTATAATATTCTTTGCTTGTACCTAATAGCCGCATTTTTGCTTTATTAAGCCGTTATCCTCTGTACTATCGTACTATATACTCTAAAAACTATAACGATGCCAAATTAATTTCTTGACATTTTGAATTTTGACTGCGTTTTGCCAGTTTACGAGTTTTTCGGTTTAAGTGCTCTTTTGAGCTTGCCGAGCGACTAAAAGTTTCTTTATGGTCTGAACCTCAGAGGTCTGAACTATATATTGAAGTCACCAGGGCCCCCGCTACCATAAGCGCAAAGGCGTGCGGCAAACGCGGGCGGCATAGCCAAGGGGCGGCAAATCGCTCGAGAGAAAAATATATACAAAAAAAATTGTAATTTAATTTTTCAAATAATTATTAATTAATTTTTTGTGTTTCAATTATGTTCCTTTTTATTCAAAGGCCAGGCGCTTATCTGAAAACTGGGAACAAGTGCCCTGTCCTACTCAGTTCCATGTAAAATCAGAGTCAGACAAAGACTGAAAATTAATAAAAACCGTGCCCTGCGCCCTCGTGCGTATCGAGCGAGAATTAGGCTGCAGGATCCTTATTCTTGAAACAGGGAAGCAAAGTTCCCAGGAGAACGAGTGTCCCATCTTTGTTACTTATATTATCATTTGCATATCATTGAGAAAGACGGAACACTCGTTTTCCTGGGAACGTTGCTCCCCTGTTTCAAGAATAAGGACCCAGGTCGCCTGTTAGCTCCGTGCAGCCGTACAGCCAATGGGCCAATTGGCAATTTTTCTGTTAAATGTTCCTTTTGGTTCTTGCAAAATTACTCTGGACTATTATCATTTATGTAGATATTGAAAAACATGACAACCTACGCAATTGACTCAATGCCACTCCAAAAGTTTATGCGCTTTTTTATTCGCCTACCCTATAACTAAGGGGCGCTAAAATATGAAATCGCACGCGGGCGGCTTCAAGTCTGGCGGGGGCCCTGGAAGTCACCCGTGCAGATTACAATGTCATTAGATACATGATATCAGATACACTGTCATGCAGACAGTGGAGGTTGCATATGGCACTCTAGAGGATTTGTAGATAACACCAATAGCCATGGGCCTACTTTCTCGATTGTGACTCGAACCCAAAGCTGGTCAATCTCTGCTACGGCATTCTGATGCTCCATTCTCACTGATTTGACATTGTTACTAACATATAATGTAACCCCACCTCTGTATCTGTGCGGTAAAGTTGGTATCCATCATTGTCAATCTCTGGAAGCAGAAAATTCTCCGATATTGCAAGAAAGTTGGGTTAATAGTGCTTGGTAAATACGAGAACGTCTGTAAATTTGTTGCATATTGATATAGGATTTATGTGGACCTATCTCAATATGGAACTTAATTGATAATGACTATCACCAGTATTTCTTCCTTGGTTACTCGACACGTGTGACGATACTCTATTTGGAAGGTGTGATTGCTATACACTATAGTTTACTTTAGATTTGTTGTTCTGAATAACTTTTGGTACACAGGAATGTGTATCTTCATTGGTGGGAAATTTTTGGTTTATTTGTAGACAATTTGGACACTTCTTGATTCCGTTACTAGTAGAGTACTTGAGTTGTTAGCACAGAAGCCGAGCAAAATCCACATATTTCTTGGTCTCTCTCATCTCTCTCACAGTCTTTGGCTATGTGATTAAAGGAGCAATATTTGAAACAACATATTAAATTCTATCGTGACGCTATTCAATTCCAACAAACAATGGTAAACTCTTGGGACACACTTCACTATAGCCATATACTTATTTATTGATTTTTATATACAATAATTTTCAAGTCACTAGACTTAGGTGGCGGTTCTGTCTTCAAATGGCTGCCAGTACTTGTGTCTCCGAGAACCCAGGTTCAATGGACACAATTTTTATCAGTGGATTATGTCTTTCAGATATTTTGATATCATACTCACTCTGTAATTGCAGTGTATGTAGTTTTTCAGGTTGCATCTTCGAGTGCACCACACTTAATTGTTGAGTACTGATCCGTTTCGACATTTCTTTAAACCTCGGATGTTTGCTTTCATCAGTGTATCGTCAATTTTTCATTCCATTTTCTGCTTTATCATATCTTGGTTAGTACCCTGCAATGGCTTAAAGGGGGTGTGCGCCAAAAAAACAACTTCATCTCAAAAAAAAGAGAAAAAAATCCTAAGAATAACAGTGAAAACCGCACACCTCTATGACAAATTATACCGAAGATATGGCTCTATGAAGGTACCGCATCTCACCCTATGACGTCACTAGAGCTCGAGCGACTCACGAGATAGTGAAGTAAATTGAATTTACATATGTTTTTTCTGTGGCACCTGCAATAATCTAGACAAAAACCACTGACGCGTGTCGGGAACAATCAAATTAACAATGCGGAGCGCGGCTGGACGAAGCTCTCGTGACGTCACACATACTTTGAAGCGGTATATCTCAGCAATGGTTTATCGTAGAATAACGAGGTGTGAACAGTTATTCTTAGATTTTTTTACACTAAAACTTTAATTTTTGGCGCACACCCCCTTTAACAACGATAACTTTCTCTGATGCAACAGATGTTTAGCTTCTTGAAGGTTGACTGCATGTGACTGGCTCATAAGCCGTGCTGGACCGTACAGATTCTCCTTCTAAGTTCTCTATTATTTTTCAAGTAACGCTACTTTGCCTTCAAAAGCTTTATTTTGTCCTCTTTTATTATATCCTTGCATAACGTTATATTGACTCAAGTAGGAATTTCAATATTTCTTGATACTCAGCAAGTTCCTGAACTTCAGAGCCAACATCAGTTGCTTCCGATCCTGTTTCCTAAATTTCAGCGTCATCTCCATGTTTTTCTATATCTTCCGACGAATCAGTACAACATTAACAGAAAAATTTGAAGCTGATGGAAGGCCGTTTTTTTATAGATGCATATCTCCAAGCTGTTGGTTCTGACTTTTTGAACAAGGACGATGGAGATGCCCCTTGCATAGAGCGTGTATCATTAGCACTAGTGTTCAGGCTTGCATTTATCACATGCTGCCAGAGGTGATAGTCAAACCCAAATATTTTAATATTTTCCGACATTTAGGGCCAAATTATGGACCGACTGATAAGTCTCAGGTTATTACCTAGCAGGTACATTCCATGCTCTAGAGAATAGAAAGTACCTGCTAGGTAACAACCTGACCGATTGCACCAAAGGGCAAAGAGTGTGGCTCAGTTGTCTTTAAGATGTGAATTTAGGACATCTTATGGACGTCTTTTTTTAGACTTCAGACGTCCAGACGCAATGCAGACCTAAAAAAGACGCCTTTAAGACTTTGTATGCTGTCTGGGTTACTAAAATTAAGAAAAATATAATGCTATTTATTTGTGTATTTTTTATTTTATCAGTGCAATGAATTTACAAAATTTTGCAAAAAGTACATTTACATGCATTAAATATCCAAAATAAAAATAAATTTCAATGGCATCGGTTTCTAGAATTGTTCGTACTTCTTCGCCTCGCTTGTTTATAAAATTTTCGTCTCTGTTTTTCGTTTAATCTACACCAACATTTGGCGCCTTGTATGGCAATTCTGGCTTGGTTCCACTTGCAATGCTTTCTTCGAAAAACGCGCAGATAATTTAAAAAAGGATTATTCGTCAATTTACCCGGATTGCATTTTCTCTTTCGCCTTATTTTGCACGCTTGATCGTAATACTCCCTGCGCTGTTGCAAAGTCATGCTACACCAAAGTTTGGCGCCCTCCATCGCGACTTTCTTTTGGGGCCAGCCCAAATGTTCTTGTCGAAACTTTCTTAAGAAGTTCAAAAACGGATTACTGGTTATTTTTCCGGGGCGAGATTTTTTGCTAGATCCTCCTCCAGATTTCGATTTCTTGAAGAACCCCTTGAAGCAAGCCATACCTATTGCATCAAGCGTTTTAACTCAAAATTTGAAAAAGCAAAAATTAATACCTAATTTGGATAAAATAGACAAAAATTGATAGCTGACAGGTGCCAAAAAATGTTGCTAAGCAATCAATAAAGCAATCCTGTGAGCGACGTTTTAGTTCAGGTGGCTCACTTGACATCAGAAACAAAATTCTAGGACCGACCTGGAAAATTTAAGGGTTGGCTCATAGGGTTGGCTCCTGCAACAAACTTATAAGTGGAGAACAGAACAACCACTAAATATGTTTATGCTAACATTTAGCCATGATGAAGACGTCAACAGAATTTTCGAAATTCACAATATCCTTGGAAGTCAAAAGTAGATGTCAATCATGGACATACACATAAATATTGCACTAAGAACCACGATGTGTAAGATGCATAGAAAAACATCTCACTGTAGACTGTTGGAAACCAAAAGATTCTGAGCCAAAATACGTTCACTTCACTGCAGCTTATAGCGGGTGTATTGTTGCTAAAGAAATACAAAAATTAAAAAATAAGCCGAAAATGCTAAATCTCACACAACAAGCAAGCACAAATGGTCAAAACCAACAACCAAGAAACCCAGCTCCGCGAAAGTCTGCGCCAAGCATTTACAGCCAAGCAGTTGTATCAGTTCCTGCCACCGTTAGTGGCAATACTCTAGTAACCAAAAGACTATGTAACAAACATTCTATCTAATTTTGAAAAAATCAAACAAACCTGATAAGCGATTAACTTAACTGGAAAATAGCAATGGTTTCTTGGATCATCAGCAACAGTTGCAAGTTGCAAGTTATCCTAGATATAGGAGATTGACATTTACCTGATATCAGAAACACATTTTACAAATCAATCTTATATTAAACGATAACGCACACCTATCATGGGATTTTTGAGCTCTATGGATTTTGCCCATTTTTTGATATGTTGTAGATGATTTGATTCTGAACAACCTTTAAATGAGACAAAATCTTGGTCTTTGAGATATGAGCGGTGAAAGATGAACATTTTTGCAACTTTTTGTGTGGAGAGTATACGAAAAACTGGTGTTTATCAGTCAAAATATTGATAGTTCGACATATTTCACGTCACTAACAAATGTCAACATAGGCTAAGGCCGGGATCGCACTGGCACCAACATTGACCCCAGTGCGGTCCCGGCCTTAACCTATGTTGACATCAATGACATTAATTTGTAAGTGACGTAAAATATGTGAATCTGTCAATATTTTGACTGATAAACACCAGTATCACAGTATCTCGTATACTCTCCACACAAAAAGTCGCAAAAAAGTTCATTTTCAACGCTCATATCTCGAAGACCGTAATACCTACAAGATTTTGTCCCATTTAAAGGTTGTTCAGGATTAAATCATCCAGTGGCGGCTGGTTCTAAGAGGCCAAGGGGCCGTGGCACTGGCGCAAAATATGTCGGTCCTTTTAAAATATTTTTTTTTTTTAGTTCAATAGTTATTACAATCGTCAGATCAAATTACTTATCATTTTATAATTTGATCCCGACGGAAAAATTTCTGTCGTTATTATTCCTAAATTTCCTAGACAATAATTCAAGCGACTGACTAAACTAAACTCGCTGGACTATCCGTCCGAGCCAATCTCACAACGGCCCCGCTGCAACACGGCAATACCACACGTTGGAAAAGGTCACGCCGCGCTCCCAGTAACCAACTGCTTTCATACGTATAAACGGGGCCACCTGATCGAACGGCCCGGATTAGTTTTTGCGGCAATTTAATTTTTTGAGAGTCGGTTCGCCGACATTGTGCGTATTTTTTGCGGCGTCGCGGCATCTTTGTCGGCATATTTCTTTGAAGCGCTTGCCGCTTGCCGCACCGCACAGGAGTCAGTTTCGTCTGGATTCTGGAAAGACAGTACTGTCTCATTTGACTATCGATAGACAGCACAGAACATATCACCTCTAGAAAAGTATCTGCAATGGTATGTACCGGTTATGAATTACGGCGCCCTCGTTGACTGAAAACCCAACTAATCGAGTATTCTTGACAAAAAGGCGAATTGATTTTTTTCATATATTTTTATTATTTTTGTATAATTTTTAATGTTCAACTGCATTTGGCTTGCTGACTCCTCTTAGCTCTTTTCGCCTCATTTTTTTAAAAACTATGACTGGCAGGAAGTTTCCGATGTCGAACATAGTGCAAAAAGAGTTAGTAAGTTAGCAAGAGACGCAGTTATAGGTAGATCGCAAAGTAAATATGAATAATAAATACAAATACGAACCAAACGAAACAAACGAATAAATACAAAAAAATACGAACAAAAATTAGGTTTTTTTTCAACCAAAACTTTTTGAATTTTCACTTTAACGTGCGTGGATTAAAAATTCAAATTTTGACTTTTAAAATGACAAAATAAATGACAAAACCAACCAACGCAAATCACTGTCCACACCACAGATACCTGTAAATTTCTCTTATCTCCCGACAGTGTCGCCATCGTTGAATGAAAACCTAACTAAAAACCTTTGTCGCGATTCTTCCATTTGAGATATTTTTCTATAGGTGATATGTTCTGTGATAGACAGTCAACGTTGACTCCAGGACGAGCTCCAGGGCTGCGTTCAGGAATGGCTACAGCCAAGCCAAAATTGGCATTTTGCGTTCAAGTTCGGCTTCAACCTACGTAGTTCGGCATTACCGTGGAGGGGGAAAAGTAGGTTTTGGCTTTAGCATTGCCGTCCCTGAACGCACGCCAGGAATATCTTATTGAACTATCCAAGATGCTGTCAAACTTGAATTAAAATGGCCGCCAAGAGGCACACAAACCCTTTTTTTATGTGTCATTCAATGTGTCATGAAATTTTTTTCAAAAAAATAGTGCTCATTGTTCATTTGCGTTTTGATACTCGTTGTTTTTACTCTTATTTTTATTAATGTTAGAAATAGAACAGATCCCTAGGGCACTCCTGCAGTGATATCCAACCCCTCTGAAGTACTGAACCCCTAGAAGCAGTACTTCATGACAGACACAATCGAAAGCTTTTTTCAGGTCACAAAAAAACTACCGCGGCCACTTCTTCGTCATTTATCTTCTAATACAGCTCATCCAGGTGATAAAATATGGTATCATTAGTGTTTTTTGACTGCTGAAACAGAGACAGAGAAAGCAATTTATGTCTATCAAGGAAGCTCACCATCCACTTCTGGGTGTCCAAGTGAAATGTAGGTAGAGCAATCTTGCCCAAACAATACGGATTCAGTAATTGGGTAGAAACGGTCAAAAATTGAGACTCACACAATAGAAAATGAGTATTTGATTATGATCATTAATGACATAACCTAATGACGTTATGGTTTGTGTTTGTGTCAAATGTTTGTGTGCCTGTTTTGGATAGTCTAATTGGTTAGATTTTTTAGCGGCGTCCCTGGCGCCATAGGGCGGCATCTCTGGCGCCATAGGGTGGCATATTTCTTTGAAGCGCCTGCCGCAAAGAAATCAGTTTCGTCTGGAAAGACCCCGCACACCTCTTATGGGATTTGGGACTTCCGCCAAATTTAACCAAATTCTAGTATAATATAAATTTGACCTTTCTGATCAATACTTAGCATTGGCCCAACTTGATCCTATGACTAGTTTTGAGATACAGGTATCTTAATGATAGAGTGCATAGCGTACTGCCAGCAGGACAAAAAGTGAACATTTGAGGAGCCTATAAAAATGCCCATATTAGGATTAAGAGACCTGCTAGAAGGACTTTCAGACCTTCTAGTAAATAGAGAAAATCTTGAACTTTCAGCGCATTTTTGGATCACAGTCCTATTGCTAACCGTTACCGAGTAATTATTAATCAAAGTCGCGCCATTTTAAACGTGAAAGTGATACCTATTGGGACGCGTGTGGCCGTTTTGGTCACATATTTCGATTTTAATTGGGCCTACTATCTTGGTTTTCGAACAGATTTACAAATTAATAATAATTGAAATAATACTAAATAAATAGCAAACAAACGTTTCGTTTCCTCTTAGTTTTAGTTTCATTTTTTTTGTTGAATATTTATTTTTCATTTGACTTTGTAACCCAGTGCAGTTTATTTCATTTCTCTTAAGTAGCTACATAATAAACGACTGATTTTTCCAAAAATATGTCGTTGATTTTTTCATTTAGATTGCTGCATCATTTTACAAAATCTGTTAAAATATAAAATAGGCTTGGTACGAAGGCGTAGAAGGGACATTTATTAAATTTTTATTTGCTGGTATAGATGCACAATTAATTCCGTGTTAACTAACTCGGAATTAATCCCCTCCTATTTAATTCCGTGTTAATTAACTCGGAATTAATCCCCTCCTATTTAATTCCGTGTTAGCTAACTCGGAATTAATCCCCTCCTATTTAATTCCGTGTTAGCTAACTCGGAATTATTTCCCTCCTATTTAATTCCGTGTTAACTAACTCGGAATTAATCCCCTCCTATTTAATTCCGTGTTAACTAACTCGGAATTAATCCCCTCCCATTTAATTCCGTGTTAATTAACTCGGAATTAATCCCCTCCTATTTAATTCCGTGTTAACTAACTCGGAATTAATCCCCTCCTATTTAATTCCGTGTTAACTAACTCGGAATTAATCCTCTCCGATTTAATTCCGTGTTAATTAGCTCGGAATTAATCCCCTCCTATTTAATTCCGTGTTAACTAACTCGGAATTAATCCTCTCCGATTTAATTCCGTGTTAATTAGCTCGGAATTAATCCCCTCCTATTTAATTCCGTGTTAACTAACTCGGAATTAATCCCCTCCTATTTAATTCCGTGTTAATTAACTCGGAATTAATCCCCTCCTATTTAATTCCGTGTTAATTAACTCGGAATTAATCCCCTCCTATTTAATTCCGTGTTAACTAACTCGGAATTAATGTCCTCTTATTTAATTCCGTGTTAACTAACTCGGAATTAATTAAGACGGAATTAAATAAAAGGACATTAATTCCGAGTTAGTAAACACGGAATTAAATAGGAGGGGTTTAATTCCGAGTTAGTTAACACGGAATTAAATAGGAGGGGATTAATTCCGAGTTAATTAACATGGAATTAAATAGGAGG